AGAGTGAGCTGAAACCAACCTCATATTCAGGTATAAGATGAAATCTGGATAGCTGCATGTCCCAGTGTGTTCTTTTGATGGCCACTGTAGCTTTGGGTGCATTTATTTTAGTACTTTAAATCAGATCAGGAATGTGTTTTTTGAAGTGAATCTCCTGATTGTCCCCTTACAATGCTTTGGCTTGTATCATGTCAGAGTCTCAAAGCATGCAAACTAGACTCCTTTCAGATAAAATTAAACTCAAAGATGTACACCAGAAGCTCAGCCAGTGTAATCCAGCAGCTGATGGACATTCAGTCCACAGGGCAAGATGGAAGCTGGTCAGAAGTAAAAACTCCTGCAATGCGTTCAGTGTGTACATCAGGTCCTCACTAACCTAATTGTTTTACTTGTCGATCCATTCCTATTTCATTGCACTAATTGCTAATGCAGACATTGGCTTTTTATGTTGTACTCAGCAGCACACTGATATGTCATTGCCTGGAGATGATACCTGTCCTGAAGTCTGTAACAAATCTGATTCAACATTTAACAGGAATACTTGCTTGAAATAGAACATAAAATAAGGTGGAATGGTACTCAGCCATATCGTAAGAAAAAAAAATAAAAGGAAAAAACCCACGAACAATACCCTCTGGTACTCAGCTTCTTTATTTGGAATCTGACAGGTTCACTTGATTTACCTTTTTTGTGTAATTACCACACAGTATTGCAAAAACATAAGGCACTGTGGAGAAAGCATTTTTTAAGTATAAGTTCTTTTCAGAGTAGGCATCAATAAAAATTATTGTGGCATGTAAAAATTTAGCATATCAAATCAAGCAACAGGAAAAGTGAGTTGGAAATCATCTTTTATAGGTATCTCTATTTCCTTATAAATTTAAAACCATCTGTCAGAATTCTTTTGCTGCAATTCTATAAAAGGTATTTTGTAGTAAGGAATAAGCCGCAATTCCATAACAAGTATTTTTGATGAGGAGTAATTTCAGTAAGTTAGTCTATGGCATCCCAAGCTAAATTGCTAGTTGATGGAGTCCCATCCCTCCTCCCCGTGTTTCATCCTCTCCCTTGCAGTTGTTCTGACAGTCATCTGAAAACAAAACGATCAGTTTAATAAAAAGAATTAGGGACAACTGGAATACTGCCAGAGCCAGAATGAGCAAGGGGACGGAAACACACAGTCCGGGATAGGGAGGAATGGCACAAACATGTAAAGCAGCAGTTTAAATCAGCATATGTTGCAGTGGAACCATACCTTTAGGGTGCAGATACCGAAGAGTCTCCAGATGACAGAGCCAATCCCATCATTCCCACTCCTGCTCCCAGACACACCTTTTATAAGGTAGTAGACCTTACAAAATTATTCTTATGTATGTGGCATTCTGCCAAACTTTCCTTCAGAGCCAAAGCCTTTAACATAGATACTCTTAGGAAAGCAAATAATTGTATAAAGCAATATTGCCAGCCTACACTCAGTGTGTTTACCAAGCATTGTACAGAGCAATACTCTGGTTAGTAAGTTGCTGAGCTCTGATGCACAGAGACTGAAGCAATAAGGTATAATAAGTAGGATCATGTGCATTAACACCTGTATGATAACAGAGTATTTTACTATTATTTATTTTATTATCTAATCAGAAGACAAAGGAGTATAGTCTGTCTCATTTACTTAAATACAGTGTTAGTGGTTTAGACTATGTATAGACCTTTACAGAACCGAAGCCAATAAAGTATGTGTTTATAAGTGCTCTTAACTGGGACTGAGATCTTGGAGTTCAATGTTTTTTGTTGTTTTAGTTTTGTTTTACTCTTGTGTGCCTTATGGGTACAGGAATAAATTATAAATTTAGTCTGTACATGCTTAACATTTTAATTTAAAGAAATGTATGTGAATTTTGCATAAAGGTCTTTCAGTAGATAATTAATTTAAGAATTCTTTAAAAGATTATAAAGTACCTCATTTGTGGTGTACAAATTTCAAGGAGCTTTTATTCCATTACACAGCTTTGAGTAGTTTTTCAAATGCGCCAGTTTTATCTGTAAAAGGTTCTATTATATATGTTTAGTATGTGGCAGCAATTGAAATGTTTACTGTACTAGAAGACTTTTACTTAATTACATATTGAAGTTTTATCCATCATCCTGTGCCTTCCTATGCTGTTCTTTGCAGACAATGATCCTGCGACGTAGAAAGCAGTTGTTCTCACTAAACTTATTTTCAGCTGGATTATCATGTTCTGCAAAGGAAAAAGAGACGGGAAAAAAAATCTAAATTATCAAAATTAACAGAAATGCATGAAAACAAGTATCTCTAAAGTCCAATAGCAGTCTTTATATTAAATGTTTTCAATATTTAAATTGAGCTTGCTGTACTTTGGTGTTTCTGCATTTGTGTTAATTTTTGTTAACACATTCAGAAGTCAACTAGTGTAATTATGAACCTTTAAAAATGTTCAAATTACCATATTTTAATCTCCTACAAGGTGTATATTATTGCTAAAAATATAGTATAAAGCAAGGCAAGTATTTGATGTGAAACAAATGTAAGGGACTGAATTACATAAGAAATGTAATATTAAAGCGTGGAGAGTACAACAGATACAGGCAGGTGCATGAAGTTGAGTAAGTAGCTTTGAGTAGATTGAGGTGAAGGAAGCACAGAGGATCATCCTACTCTGTTAAAGAGTGCTTGTGCACAAAGCCAAGACCACACACACTCCTAGAATGGATGTTTTTTGTAAACAGCCAGAGCTAAGGCATGACTGCACATAGAATCATAGAATACCACGTTGGAAGGGACCTCAAGGATCATCTGGTCCAACCTTTCAAGCACGATCTAGATGAGATGGCCCAGCACCATGTCCAGCTGAGTCTTAAACATGTTCAGCATAGCGGAGTCAACCACTTCCCTGGGGAGATTATTCCAATGATTGACTGTTCTCATTGTGAAAAATCTACCTCTCGTGTCTGATCGGAATCTCCCTGGGAGTAACTTGTACCCATTACCCCTTGTCCTCACCATGTGACTCCTTGTGAAAAGGGAGTCTCCATCTTTTTTGTAGCTCCCCTTGAAGTACTGGTACATGGTGATGAGATCACCTCTAAGCCTCCTTTTCTCAAGGCTGAACAAACCCAGCTCTCTCAGCCTATCCTCATACGGCAGGCTTCCCAGACCCTTGATCATCTTGGTGGCCCTTCTCTGG